ATTGGCATATGTACCTTCGGGCTTCCTCTTCTCGAAGCTTCACATTAAACTCCTTACTTGGTGGATACCTCGGCAAACTCGATGGCTCACAAGGAAGTGGCTTTGTCGTGAAGAACTACACAAGAGAATAGAACCCTCAGTCACCCAGCCAAAGAGAAACTATAACCAAATCTGGATTCGGCCTGAGAAATTTGTCAACTTCATTGTAACATGTACTTGGTACTAGCACTAGAACTCTATGAACTGGACAAAATTTATGTCTAAGGTACAAAGTATTAGTAGTACTAGAACTTTATGAACTCCAGGGGTTGAAACTTGAGAGGATCCGGATTGTGCTGTAACCAACTACAATCATTTGATTGAAAGATAAGTTATATATATAATCACACCTCGCTCTGAAGTGCTGAGGAAGCAGTTCCTCGATCGTCAGGTTCTATAGCAAGAAGAACGTCGAGAAGTTTGAGGGCAGAGGGTGGGAAATCCTTGAAAGTCTCTGCAACAACGCGCTGGTAAGGTTGTTGAGGTTTGAAAATGGTGGCATGTGGCAGCTTCGACTTCTTCCAGTATTTCTCAGAAGGTGATCCACAAAGTTTAAATATCTTATGCAGTTGCTCCACCTGTATATTAAGCAACATTATTCACAATTTCTGACCTAGCACTAGCCAAAAAAAGGTTCTTTTAGACTGGTTCTCGAACCAATTTAGATAGGATCGGTTTGAAAAGTCAGCCACCTTTTAGACCAGTTTATAGTCATTTCTTAGTAAAGGATGTGTTTGTGTACCTCGGTACGACCGGGCATGATGGGCTTGCCGGCGAAGAGCTCTGCAAGAATGCAACCAGCACTCCACAGGTCAACAGCAACGCCGTAATTGGTGGCTCCTAGTAATAGTTCAGGAGATCTGTACCACAAGGTTACAACTCTGCTCGTCAATGCTTGGCCTTCCAACAGGGTGGCTAGCCCAAAATCTGCAATTTTCAAATTGCCCTTGTAGTCTATTAGCAAATTTGCTCCTTTTATGTCTCTGTGTAGCACCCCCTTCTTGTGACAATGCTCTAACCCTCTCAATAGTTGCTGCATGTAGCACTTTATCTGCACCACCACCACATAACGCCAAACATCACTCTTTTCAACTCAGTCAATTGTTATGTGGGTATATAATAAAGATATTTACTGCCTCCGAGCTAGACTAGGAATTTATTTTATTCTTAAATATAAGACTTTAATTCACTTTATCTTACAAATTTGTAATTTTTTTCTTAAAAATATGTCTATAGATTGCACATTTTAAGAGATTCCATCAAGGATAGGTCCCAATGCGCATGATTAGTAGTGACATTTTAAGGAAGCCAACATATATTTATAATAAATAACTAACTTAAAGCCAACATATATTTATAATAAATAACTAACTTAGCTAAATTTTTTTTAATATCTGTAAATTACTTATTTAACTCTTATATTAAAAATCAAAAGTGGTACTACATTACACTATTCATGAGTCATAAGTCTCATGCAACATGAACTTGCTCAAAACATGTTGCAGGCAACTTGGACTTGGTTGTATGCGTTTGACTGAGAGTGTCGGTTTACACAGCATTGAATTAGGAAATGAAGTACCTGCTCCTCGGAAAACTTGATACCAGGAAGAGCTGAGAGGCCTGTGAGATCATGTTCCATATATTCAAAAATAAGGTACAAGCTGCCAGAAACCCTTGAGGTAATCATTCCTTCAAGCTTCATCACATTTGGATGATCAAGCCTTCGCAGTATAATGATTTCTCTGGCCATGAAACGAACACTTTCTGGGTCCATATTGGCAAATCGAACCTTCTTTAATGCAACTATTTTATTTGTTTCCAAATCTCTAGCTCTGTAAACGCTGCTATATGTCCCTTGTCCAATCTGCCATTACATTTACAACATCAATCTTAATCAACTCGAAGGATTAAGAATGTAATACTGATGCATCAGAGGAATGAAATTTACTTTACCTTCTCTAACTTCTCAAAGGATTCTGATCTACGTGGAATCCAACCACTAATGGCTTCTCCTGCAACAGCAGATAGCCATGAAGGCCACCCAGCTAGAACTTGGGCCCCTCTCTCTCCTCTTTTTATACTACCTATCCTATTTAACATCGTCATCCTACTTGGTCCTTCTTCCACACTTCTACTCTGAGAATTCCCAGGTTTCCCTGTTGTCCCAACATTCTTCTCCCTCTCATCTGATGATATCAACCTTGTATTAACATCGTTTGATCCACTACATTCCTGTTGCATTGCAAGCTTTTGATCCCTCCTTGACGTACCCTTTGAGGATTTCTTTGTTTTCTGCACATGATTCTCTGCGACATAATCGTGTGAATGTGTCCCTCTAGAACATAAGCAGCCCATAATAATTATTCCAATTTATGGTAACTTAAGAGTTCCTCGAAGTGTTCTCGGTCAACCTTATCTCTTGTAATTCAGGGAAACGAGAGAATGCCCAAATCCCCAAATCAAAGAAAAGGTCAAATCGATTAATGGCGTCGACAAGCGAAACTTTCACATGTCGATATCATTACGAACAGGCCAATGTTTAATGAGGAAGAAGAATATGTCCAAATCAAAAGGGGAAAAACAACCGCCAATTTTGAGATATTCGGATTAAAAAAAACGACAGAAAGGGGGGGGGGAACAGAAATCTGACAATCACGAATTCACGAGCACCAGATAACCAACGAGAAAATTAAAATTAGGGCAATGAATGGAAGTGTGGATGAAGAAGAATGAAGAACGTTATCAAATCAGAAGCAAGAGATTCAGATGAAATAACGAAGAAAAAACAACCAAAAAAAAAAATCTGGGAATCACAAATGTGACGAGGATGAGTGAGTTGGGTTCGATATTTTCTGGCAGGAAAGCAAATTTTGAAAGAGAAAATAGTTGAGAAGAAGTAACAACTAACTATATTCTATAAAAAAGAGAAGTTGTAAAAAGGAATAGAGAGAGATTTTCGGATCTGAATGACCTCACAAAACTGAAGAGGCCGAGAATCTCTGGTTTGGGAAACCGTTCTGAAACAGGGCAACGCAGAAACAGAGCAGGCGGGAAATATTTTGCTGGCGGGTACATTCCCACTCTCTCGCCCTTTATTTATTACTCCCTTGTTATTAAAAACGAATAACTGAATTATATTAACAAAAAAAACAGTTAAAATTAGTTAAAAAAATCAATGTGTGAAAAGTATAATTTTTTTCAAAAATTTCCTCATTAATAAGGAGAGAGAATAATTAAATTATTAAAAGAGAGAGAAGTGGAAGGAAAAGAGAGTATGAGTTGGAGACAATGAATATGGGTAAAATAGGAAATCAACACAAAAAAATACAGATAACTTTTAAGTGTCTTATATATAGAAACATGCTATAAGCATCAAATGTCTCTATAATAAGGAACGGAGGGAGCATTATTTATTTACTTCCGAATTTTATTGTATATATAATTTTTTTTATAGAAAATTATATTTTTATTTTGTTCAACGGGAAGGTTATTATCTAGCCTTACTGTTGATGATCATATGACTTTTAATTGGCCTAGAAAAATTCCTAAGAAAATTGAAGTTTTAAATTTAAAATATGAATTAACCTTAAAAAAAGACAATTAGTGAAAAAACTTAAATTATGAATAAGTAATATATTTATGGTGACAAGTAAAATTTGTTATATGTAGATATACTGATTGTATACTTGTTATGTTTTAATGAAAATAAAATACTTTCAATGTTCTAATTGAATAATACAATAAAGAATTGTAAATATCTATATAAAATAATATATGTTTAAAAAATGATATTATCTCTTATTTTTCAAAATATTCAATTTTTGGGCTAAAAACATTTCCAATTTTGAAGGAAAAAGCGAGGAAGTCACGTAGTTTGCCAATGTTAAGGGACTGAAGAACCAGTTTTATCAGTCTGAGGAAAAAAAGGGGGGCTTAGGTACTTATTAACTTGACTCATCGAGTTATATAATTATAATCGGAATAAAAAAGTTATAGACGTCTCTAAATTTTTTAATAAGTTATTTTTATATTAATTTCCAAATCAGTGTAAAAAGTTACATGTAACTATTGAAAATTTTCTACCAAATAGTTCAACAATGGATTATTTGAACCCTAGATTGGGTGTGAGCTGTTTCTAGTTATTTTATTTCCTAGCGTGTATCGAGTTTTCTTCTTTTTTCTGATAATTTTGCTTTGACAAATGACAAGTCTTAATAATGTTTGAGCCATTTTTGCCTAGGAGCACTTGATGGTAGATTCTAAGTATATTAGATTTGTTTAGAGGGTTAAGTTTAGAAGTTGTTTTCTCACAATAAAATAAATTAATATTCAAATTTTTATTTAGAAAGATATTTATAAAAAAAATAACAAAAAAAGACCGCCAAAATAAAAAAAAATTACACATAAAAACCGGTTTGTAAATGTTAAAACCTATATTATTATTGTCAAAATCTATACTAATATTGTTTTGGATTCTTATTTTTTCTATTTTGATTATTTTTTTCATTTTTTTATTAATATTTAGTGGCTGATATTGTTTCAAGCAGAATTACCTTCTAGCAAAAAAAAATGATTTATTTCTTGAGAGTTAACTCGCACCGTGAGTCCAAAAAAAAAAAAACTCGCACCGGAACTCCAGTGGTGGGCCATCAGCTACTAATGCGAGATGTTTAAGAGACATTTAAAAAAAAATAAAATAAAATCAAGCTCTGCCAAAAAAAAAAAGAGCAGGCCGCGCCCGCGCCCGCACGCACCGGCCAGACACATGAATGGTAAAAGAAACGAAGGAAGAAACTACTGTGAACGCCGCCCCGCCATTGACACGTCGGATCAAGGAAACCCGAACCTGATGCGTTGATCTACGAACCGGCAGCTTCGGACGACACAGCTGGTGACAGCCTGTCACCAACAAAGTCCCACTCACCTATTCCCCTAACTACGTTCTCTCTGTCCCTCTGTCTCTCCTAGCTGCTCTCTCTCTCTCACACACCTTCCTCTCGCTGTCTGGTTCTGTGAGCAAATTAGGGTTTGTGTTCCTTCACCTTCTGATCTCATTCAGCGACCTTTGGATTCTTCCTTCGATTTCACCAGATCAAGATTCTCTGCACTGTAGGCTTCCTTTTGATCTTCTCCTAGTTCTGTTTCCTTCATGTCTTCACTTGCTTTTAGCCATTCGAATTGCCTTAAAATGGTTTTCTTTTCTATATTCCTCGCATTCGCTTCTTTTCCTGTATATTTTGCTGTTGGTTTTGTCATTTTTGTTGAATGCATATATATTAATGTTCAGATTATGCACTTATTTGCTGTTTTAACTTATTAGACTTAAGTTTGGATTAAAATACGATCTAAGAGTTTGGCTTATACTTGTTTATGGAGAAAGCCCTGGTGAAGAAAAGAAGTCAAATTTGTAACTTTTTTCACCAAGCTTCAAAACTTTGAAGGACTCATTTTATTTGTCTTATCTCACTTTTTTCTAGCTGGTTTCGTACTGACCAAGGGTATTTATCATGGTTTGTTTGGGACGTTTCAACTAGTTGGCCGTTCATTTTTACTGAGTATAAAGTTCATGTTAAGTGAAAGAACCATGGAAAATGCCCGGTTTGAGCAGTAAAAGCTTGTCATGTTTGTATCCTTCTACTGGATAGCAGACACAGACCACCTTCTCGTTTTGAGTTTTTGGTTTTTAGAGTGGATATTTGACTGTTCTAGGATTAGGCTAAATTACGAAGAGCATTTTGAACTTTCAGTCATCTATGGGTGATTTTTTTTTTTTTTAACCTTCAAGGCGTGAACATGAACTTTCACACGTGTAATAACCCATGTTTTTTTCCAGTCGATTAAATTTGCAGTTATTTGTGGATAATTCTCAGGAGGTTATCTATAGAAAAATTCAAAGTTTATGCGAGTCTAGTGATAAATTTTGAAGATCAAGGGGTTATGTGCTCATGACCTAAAGTTTAGAAAGATTATATAGTATTTTGTCTTATGGTTAAGTTGACTAAGCTCTGAATTAGACGAGAGACTGAATCAATTTTTATCCTCAGCTTTCCATTGAAGTATTTGACTTCCATTGTTACTTATTATTTTCCCCCTGCTTTTTAGGTTCTCGGAGTGGATGGTCAATCCTTGAGACATTTTTGAGGTCGATGTTTTTCCCTCAGAGTCTCATGGCCTTGATGTGTGTCTGGAAGGATGCTACCTGATTGAGCAGGAATGTTTTATGGTCATCATTGTTGTGGAGTTATTGTTGTTATTTAATTTCAATTCAGCTACCACATGCAATTGGATAGAAGCCACAGCTACCTGAGGATTTCTTGAATCCATGCTGTCAGAGAGCATGCGTGGAATCTGTACTTTGGGTAATGCCCCTGACGAGATTAGCTGCCGATGCATTCGGTGTGGTGACCATTTGTCTCGTAGCCATCTTGACTCTTCTTGGTTTTCTATGCATTGTGTACTCAGTTTACTTTCGCTCTCGAATTTATCATCAAGGTTTTGCTCAACTCAATTATTTTAGTGGTCCTTGGATAATCAGAGTTGCATTCATCCTATTTGCAATTTGGTGGGGTGTTGGTGAGATTATTCGGCTAACTTATTTAAGACGCATCCTTCACCTAAAATGGCACGAAACTGTTTGCAAATGTTACATTATATCAAATCTGGGGTTTGCAGAACCATGCCTCTTCCTTACCCTTGTGTTTCTCCTCCGTGCACCTTTGCAGAAGTTGGAGACTGGGATTATGAGCCGAAAATGGAATTGGAATACAGCGGGATGTATTCTTCTTTACTGCCTCCCGGTGTTTATTCTTCAGCTCGTTGTTGTTTTAGTTGGACCTCAGTTAGACAAGAATAAGGGTTCTGGACAAACGTTGCCTCATATTTTTACTAGTACAGCTGCTAGATCTTCAGTGACATGGGATCAAGATATTGCCCTCTGTACTTACCCTTTACTCAGTACCATTCTTCTTGGCCTTTTTGCCATTATCCTGACTTCCTACCTTTTTTGGCTTGGAAGAAGGATTTTGAGACGAGTTATTAATAAGGGTTTGCAGAAGAGGGTTTATACATTAATATTCTCAGTTTCAGGCTTCCTTCCATTAAGGGTTCTTTTCCTTGGTTTATCTGTTTTATCTGGACCTGAGCAATTTACTTTTGAAGTTCTTGCTTTCTTGGCTTTTCTTGCCCTTGTATGTTGTGCTGGGGTTTGTATATGCATGCTTGTATATCGTCCAGTTGCAGATTGTTTAGCACTTGGGAATCTACAAGATCTAGAGGCTAGGAGGTTTATTGATGATCATAATGATTTTATGTCTCTCATTGCTAACCAGAGTCATCTGGAAGATTATGTGCAAGAAAATGTTGGTTCTAGTCCTGCTAGAGATTCTGATGCTTCAACAAAGCGGGGGTCCATTTCCTTCCGCACAGTGGAAAATGCTGGGTCATCAACAGGGCCATTTGTTGAGCTGAGCCTTTTCTCTCCCAGCAGAAATGCACATGGTCCAGGATCTCCATCGCTTCGAGGTTGGCCTATGCGACCCTCAACTCATGTTATTGGACCGTGAGCAGGCTAGAAACTGATTTACTGAGTGAATGCCTTCAATTTTGTGGAAAAGTAAAACATTGTAAAGGCTTTAGCTTCAATAAGGCTTTTTATTCTTGTTTTGTTTCCTAATTTTAGCTCATAATTTTTTTTTCCCCTGGAGTTTATTGTGAGTACTCCTTTTAATCCCCTTGTGCCATCTATAATCTTTTATTTTGGCTCTCAAGTTTTTATTTACAATGTTTGAATGCTTTTTTTTTTTTTCCTGTAGCAGTAGCGGTGTATTCACCTGAGTTGGAATCTGTTGGGTGTCTATACTCGATAAATCTGGATAGAATTTATGTGTTGGACGAGGAATGTTCATTGTGATGGTATGCTGAGACTGAGCATTTTGTTGGATTCATTGTTATCAAAGTCAGGATTATTAAGTGCAGATATAGAAGAAACTTGTGTCATTTTACGTTTTCGCTGACTAGGCTTATCAGACCTAAATTTCTTGTGATTTCGGACGCTTGAAGGAGACTTGAATATTTATTTTGTGCGCTTGGCCTAGCCACCTTGAACTTCTGGATTCTAGGTGAAGGAGCGCTTTTTGGAATAACAGAATTGGAAGGGCGGACTTGATTTAAAAAATCGCAGAAGCAGGGTGAAAATTTTTTAATTAATTTTTCTTGCTCCCCCCCCCCCCCAAAAAAAAAAAATCTCATATCTTCTGCTTCTATTATGAAGTTTTGTGATGCCTGATTAAGGCAAAACGGGTTGGGCGGGTTAGTAGGACTATTCATGCTATAATGGGCTTTTATGGATTATCATAATCGTGGCTGTCTGGCTCCTACGTACTCTCCTAGTGGATTCTCAGTCCTCCCCCCGTCGTCTATCGGCTCTCACAAGGTACTACTGCCATTTTCGTGATGCATGAATCTTCCAGCATCGTCTCTCGTACCCCCCCTCGGGAAGCGATTCTTCTGGTACTACCCTTGTCGATGCATGTGGGTTTTCACCTCCATTCTAGTCTTGTCGCCTAACATCATCTGCCTTTCCTGTGTTGTGAAACATTTTATATAGGACTCCTATTTTTACCATGCTCAGAGCCTTCAAGCTGCACCCTACCCCTAAATGTGGTTAGATTCATGTGTGCTCCTGGATTGACCGATCTTGATATTTTCAAATTTGCGTTGTATATGATGAATATTCTCATTTTTGTCGCTTTAAATTTGAGATTCTTATATGAAAATTATTATCCCCAAATCTCTACCATAGTTTTGGGTCGTTCCTTTAAGGTTTCTAAATCATATTGCAATTTCTTAAATTGAGTATTACATCACCTGCTACAATTTCTAGATAGATATTTCCCCATTTTTGGTTTTTTTTTCATTGATTTTTCCCCATGTTAGTTAATCATTTTTTGTTTCATATACATTATACATATATTTTTAAATATTATGCAAGATATTCATATAATATATATATACACTTTGAATTATATGTAAACAATTTGGCCAAACAAATTAGATGTAAAATATAATTTTACATATTTTATGTATTTTGCATTTATATGTATGTCCATGATGGTTATTTGTGTCTTTGTTATATTATATATATATTTGATCCGTATAAAATTTCACATGTATTTTGTAAGAAACATAAACTATAATGTATGTTTTTCCTCTCTGTTAAGTTTTTTAAAATTTAGCTTTTTTATACTGCATGGAATGAATCTGTCAAAAACCATCCTCCCATTCAAAATAATCAGACGACAATTCTTGTTTATCGTCTTTTTTGCGATGACCATCAACAAGAGTCAAGGCCAGTCATCAACCAACGTCAGTTTGTACCTGCCCAGTCGGTGTTCACACATGGACAGTTGTTTGTCTCATTGTCAAGGGTCAAGAATATGGACGATCTCAAATATTAATCCTCGATTCTAACAGCAAACTCACAAACATTACTTGAAAGGTGGTCTATGGGAAGTCTTCCAGAATGTGAATTTAGAATGACCTCATTCTTACCATCATGGCCGGCTGTTGTCTTCACACTATTAGTATGAGAATTTTCTTTGTTAAAATTACATAATACTATCTTGTGATGCATTGTAATAGAATGAGAATTATTTATATTTAAGCATCTCACATGATAGTTTTTCCTCTTCACCTCCCCTATTACGCTTGAATTAATCAAATAGAATAATGCATACTTAACAAAGAGCCTCCATAAACAATAATTGCACGGGGAAAAGATCCTATCGGACGGTCTTCCCCCAACATTACTCGTAGTGTGGTATATTGGGAGGTCTTCCAAAATGTCCGTTCAGAGTGACTACATCATTCAATTCATGAGATGCCTTTCAACTTCATATTATCAACATGACAGCTACCATAATTACATTACATTTAGAACTCTGACTCTAGGATTAACTTACATTTATGCATTTCAGGCAACTAGATAACCATCTTCACCTCTTATATAACTTACACCTAAACAAGCACAATAATACATAACCTGCGAAAAAATTACATGCACCACAATGATCCATGCAACGCACGGGTAGAAGATCCTAGTTTTTTATCAAAATTTTATAACTCATTTTTTTAATTTTTTAAATTGACTTGTTAAAATTTTTTTTAAAACCAAACGAAGGCATGTAATAATTTTTTCAAATAAAGTCATATAACGGTTGTGGCTAATGGCATGGGGTTGGTAGAGAGATGATAGCATCTGCCTAGAGGATTGCGGTGGGAGATTACAAAATCTGATACAATCAAACTTAGTGTGGAACTTACCTCATAAAAATGTAATGAAATATGCAGAGGCGAGTGAATTTTTCAAATAGATTACCCTATGATGAATACGATCAAATGGACTGAGTTTTTGGCGATATGCTTTCCCGCTACTAGGGAAAATTTTATTATTTTGAAACACTTCCAAGACCTATTCATAATTATGCGGGGGAATAAATCCGAATATATAGTTTCTATGGGCTTCTACATAATTCAAATAGCATAAGAACAATATTACGTTACTCGTGCACCCCTAAAATTTAGCAATGGAAAAAAACAGGAACAGATATTCAAAATGTACCCCCCTTGAACATTTTAAATTGGAGTCAATCAGTTGCCCAAGAACTCAACGGCTGAAAAGAAAAATTGCTCCAAAGCAAAAAAATTTATAGCTTCTCTCGCAACATAGTGATCACACTCAATTGTATAAATAGGCCAGAGCAAAAGAGGTGGTAAAGTGCAGGACCAAAATCTGGCATCTGTATGATGCAGGTAACTTTTATTGTACAAATACATAACCAACTGTAAAACAAGATATATATATGTGGATGAACTGATGCCATAAATTGACTGTTGTCAAAGCAAGCTCAATCATCGACTTCAGCTTTAATTTCTCTCAGCAATTCGTCCTTGTAATCCTCAAAAGTTCCATCAAAGAATTTGACGGTACCATCCTCAACTACCCATATTTGACTCCTCTCTTCATCATCACATACACGCGATATCAATCTAGAATCATGACTAACAAGAACAACTCCACCAGTGAATTCATCCAATGCATCAGCTAACGCATCAATACTTTGCATGTCTAGATGATTAGTGGTTCATCCAACAGCAAAATGTGGGGCTTTGACATGGATATTGAGGTGAATACCACCCGAGCTTTCTGCCCTCCTGATAGTTTGACAATAGGGGTAAGATGATTATGACTAGGCAATCCAAACTTACCAAGTTTTGCTCGAACAGCCTCCTGCTTACTGAGCCCTTCCTGATCTGGATGAAGACGAAGAAGATACTGGACAGGTGTTTCATCCATTGTTAGGAGGTCCACAAAGTGCTGGGAATATCTTCCGATCCTCAATTTCTGACTTCTTCGAACTTCACCCTCAGTTGGAGACAAGTCACCCGCAAGAAGATTCAGCAGTGTCGATTTCCCGGCTCCATTAGGCCCAACAATGGCGACACGAGTCCCCATATCAATGCCAACATCAACATTTGAGAGTCTGAAATCTGGCCGCTTTGGATAGCTGAAGCTCACTTCAATGAGCTGCAGCAAAGGAGGTGTTAGTTCAGTAGGTTCAGGGAAGTGAAACTCAACACTGTAATCCCTCCACTTTTGTGGAACATCTGCTGGGGCATCATCCTCATCAACCTTGCCCTTGCCTTTACCCTTGCTTTTTGCTGCTTCCTTAGCAGCTGCAAACTTAGCTCGATCCTTCACCTTTTCCTGCTGAACCCGATTTCCACTTCTTTTGGCTGCTTTCATTTGCTTATCATAAATCTCAAACTTCTTATTCATCTCTTTGCGGCGCTGCTCATAACCACTTTCAAAATCATCAAAATTTCCACGGTAGATATAAAGTTTCAAATCATGCAAATGAATAATCTCATTACAAACTGTATTTAGGAAATCCCTATCATGTGAAACGACCACCAAAGTCTTCTTCCAACGGCACAAGTACTCCTCCAACCAGAGAACAGCTCTCAGGTCAAGATGATTTGTTGGTTCATCAAGCAATAATAGAGTTGGCTGAACAAAAAGCGCTCTGGCTAAAGAAATTCTCATCCTCCAACCCCCACTAAATGATTTTGTAGCGCGGGCCTGCATATCCTTTGTAAAACCTAATCCTGCTAGAATCTTTGATGCCTGAGCTTCAGCTGCATCAGATCCCATCAACTGTAACTTCTCATACAGCTCAGCAAGCTTCTCTCCTGCATCATCTTCATAACCATCATCCTTGTCTCCACTTTCATCAACAGAACTTGCATTTTGAAGAAGAGCCACTTCTTGTCGGGTTTTAACAAGTTCTTCATTAGCTGAAACAACAGCTTCAAGCGCCGTTTTATCATCACCAACAACCTCCTGCTCAACCAGAAGCACATCAATATTCTTTGGCACTGGTATCTTCCTCCAGGCAAGGAGCTTCAGCAGTGTGGACTTACCCTTTCCATTGGGCCCAACTAAACCATACCTCTTCCCATGAGATATCTTCACTGATGCATTCTTAAGGAGTTCTTTACCCCGAGCTGACACAGAAAAGTTCTCTATTGTCACATCCTTCACATTGGCATCAGTGTCATTTTCTCCATCAAGCACTGAAGTCCGGCTTCCAATGACCACAGTAAAAGCATCACGGTCATCCCTAAGTGCTTCCTGTTTCGCCAACTCTGCAGCATGGGCAGCTAGAAGATCCTTCTTTTCCCGCTTTTTTACCTCTTTGTCAGTGACAGACACCTCAAGAGGCTTTAAGTCAGGCCTTTGCTGCTGAGTGGACCGCTTAGGTGCACTATCTTGTTCTTCCTCCTCTTCCATGACATCATCTTCATCATCAGAGGGAGGAAGATCAATACCATCGGTGT